GAAATGTCTGTTAGACAAGCTGAGATGCGAGCAGCTATCGTCGGATCATCAGGATGGATTGAGAGGTAGAGTTGAGTGTCATCAGTATAGCAGTGATATGAAAAGCCATGTTTCTGAATGACAGAACCTTGTGATGCCATGTAGACAGAGAAGAGAAGTAGTCCAAGAACTGAGCCCTGAGGCACCCCAGTAGTTAGATGTTGCGACTTGGACACCTCACCTCTCCAAGATACCTTGAAGGACCTATCTGAGAGATAAGACTCCCAAAGATGCCCTTTGCCTATAGGGTTGACAGGAGGATCTGGTGGTTAACCATGTCAAAAGCAGCGAACAGATCCAGCAAGATAAGTATTTAAGATTTGGTGTCCGCTCTTGCCAGCCTTAGGGCTTCAACAACTGTCTCGGTTGAATGTCCACTTCTGAAAGCAGACTGGTTGCTGTCAAGGAGGTTGTTCTGTGTGAGAATATTAGCTGTTAGAGTGTGCATCCATAGAAATGTGTACGTATCTATGTGTGCATTGATCTGAACTTCGAAGTAGCTAGACCATCCAGGAATCTTTGGCATACTAATTTCAACATACTATGATTTGGGGCATACTAATTCTATTTTCAAATACTATTTAGGACGGATAGTATGCAAATTGGGACACAGCAATTGTCTTACTATTGGGAGATCTGTGTTACTTACTATTGAAGAAAGTGTCAACTTGGATCACGTGTGCCTTGATAACCAATCACATTACAGCCTTGATGTCACTGAATTTCAGGCAGAGTTGTGCGACACTCAATTGCCGTTTACGGATACCATAGGAATGAATGAGAAGGGTCGTAAGCTGAATTCCATCTGTCGCAAATAGTCTGTGACTTTTATAAAACTTTTTTTTTTCGGTGTAAACTCTAAAAATAGTTCAATCCAGAAGTATTGTTTAGTGTAAAACATGTTGAAGATTAGCCGATAGGCTGTCGATTTATTAAATGATAAGCTGTTTCCTAAAAAAAAAGCTGTTTATTCAGCGTAGTGAAGCCTCTCCTCCATTGACATCCATTCAAACAAAACTGCCTCTGGTCTCCTTTCCTGCGTATCACCAAAGTGGAAGCGTTAGCATTAGCCGTTATGCTTTTTTGGCTAAGGGTTGCAGGCTTGTCTTTCTAGTGGCTTTGTAATAACTTATGATGTGCCAGGAAATCCCTAATATGGACAAAGGCATCCAGCTATCGTAGCCAAATCAATCTCTGATGTAGCTAAGCTGAATAAAAGGAAACATTTTGACTGATGAAACATGAAGACAATAAACACACGAATGCGACAAAATGTGGTTTATGTGTGCTTTTCAAGTCATCTCCAGGTCATCAAAAAGCATCTGAATAATGCAGTGCTAATTGGCATAGCATTTATTACAGTTGGCTATAGAAACTATAAAATATACAGTATCTTCTGCCTTATTCTGTGATAAAAATAGAAAAAGTGTTTGTATATAAACAAATCATAAAATTGTTGTGGGAAAAATATTATAGAATACAAATTATTGGTTATTATCCAGCAGTGTATTTGATTTCTCAGCCAATTAAAAGTGATAGGAAAATAACAACAACAACAATAATAATAATAAAACCTGTCAATTAGACCAAAAAAAAGGTATTATTTTATTTGAAATTTCTGTCCCCCTCACTTCTGAAATGATGGCTACACCCCTGTGTCAGGGCTCGAAATTACCATTTGCCATGTTAGAAACAGTCAGTCACACACAGGAGCAGAGCTGTACAATTCTGGATAAATTGAGAATCACAATTTTTGTTCGTTTCAAATAGAGATCATGATTCTTCCACGATTCTGAACAGACAACTAAACAAAATAGCATGTAATTTACTAGAGGTTCTGACAAAATGTTAATTGCTGCAGTCTATTTTTATTTGAATTATTTATTGTAAAATCTTCTGCACCTCTTCTATGGCTAATATTAATGTCATAATGATCCTTACTTTGTGAAGTCAAGCAGCAGAAGTTAAGTGACAGTGTGCAAATACTACTGACCCATTTTGGGGTGAATTTAATATGCAAGAGTAGTCTTACATGTCACTGTTTATAACACAGAATGTTCATCCTTTGCTGGGGTGCTTAAAAAAATTAGGGGCATAAATTAAGAGCATACCCACTTCTCAAGGCACCACTACACCACTGCCCATATGTTTTATTTTGTATCAACATATATTTGCAAATGTATCAGATACACTTTTACCAATATACTGGGACATGTCCGAATAAAGTTCTCACTTATGGACTACAGCTATCACAGAATGTGATTAATCAGACAGTTGTTACAGTCCTTATGTATTTATATTATAAATTAAATTGATGTTATAATGTAAACCACACAGTGGTTTTAAAATTCCCATTTTAGATGTGACATGTAGTTTATGTTGTAGAATAAAATGGGAAAGTCTTAAAAATGCTAACCACAAACCTTATTTTACTCAAATCGAAAACCGCTATTTTAAAAACCCATTTGAAATTCCTAAGGGAGCCCATGGTGGAATGGCCTTCTGGGCAAGCCTACAAATTGACATCATGACTGAGTAGCTCTACTGAACCCTGATCAGGGAAAGAGCCTTGAAATGTCTTTCTAATGAAACTATAACAATACCATGATGCTGAATTTATTAGATGTAACCTGTATTTTCAAAATTGTTTCCTGAAGTTCTTTTGTAATACTCCGTAGGGCTTGTGGGATTCAGCACCTCGAGCGGGCAGGGAAGAGCCTCTCCCTCTTCGACGCTTTATATTTCTGCATCGTCACCTTCTCGACTGTTGGTTATGGAGATGTCACACCCAGAATCTGGCCCTCTCAGCTACTGGTGGTCATCATGATCTGTGTGGCTCTGGTGGTGCTGCCATTACAGGTGACACAACCAGCCCACAAACAGCACAATCAGTAGCTTCAGTATTAAAAGATTAGTTCACCCAAAAATGAAAATTTGCTGAAAATGTACTCACCCTCATATCCAAGATGTAGAAGACTTTGTTTCTTCATCGGAACAGATTTGGAGAAATTCAGCATTACATCACTTGCTCACCAATGGATCCTCTGCAGTGAATGGGTGCCGTCAGAATGAGAGTCCAAACAGCTGATAAAAACAATCAATTAACATGTTGTGAAGTGAAATGCTGCATGTCTGTAATAATCAAATCCATCATTAAGATGTTTTAAACTTCAAACCATTGCTTCTGTCTAAAATACAAATCCTCTATCCATAATATTGTTTTCTCTAGTGAAAAAATCATCTTGCCTGAATCAGGAGAGAAATATGCACAGATCAAGCACTGTTTACTAGTGAAACAAGTTCTAAACAAATACGTTGGTGGATTTTGATGTAAGAGGACAACAGGGGATGGACTTTTTCATTGTGTTATTATTGATTATGGACTGGTATTTTTCCTAGAAAATTTCTTAATGATGGATTTGTTTCTTACAAACATGCATCTTTTCACTTCACAAGATGTTCATTTCTGGATTGGAGTCGTGTGGATTATTGTGATGTTTTTATCAGCTGTTTGGACTCTCATTCTGACGACACCGATTCACTGCAGAGGATCCATTGGTGAGCAAGTGATGTAATGCTAATTTTCTTAAAATATGTTCTGTTGAAGAAACGAACTCATCTACATCTTAAATGGTCTGAGGGTGAGTAAATGTTCAGCAAATTTTAATTTTTACATCACTTATCAGATATAAGTGAAACTATTAATAATGCACTGCGTTTACACAGTACTTTCTTTCTGTCTCTCATTTCGACACCAGTTTGAGGAGTTGGCATATCTTTGGATGGAGAGGCAGAAGTCAGGTGGAAACTACAGCAGACATCGTGCTCAGACAGAGAAGCATGTGGTTCTCTGCGTCACTTCACTCAAAATAGACCTGCTCATGGATTTCCTCAATGAGTTCTACGCCCACCCGAGACTACAGGTACATACATATTCCCATATATGTAAGTGTTTATTATTGCTCTATGTATTCCAAAAATCTGTATTATAATCTAGCTCATTTCCTGTATGTGATGGTGGTATCATTAATTCTTAAATGTCTTGTAGGATTATTATGTGGTGATACTCTGTTGGATTTTGATGTAAGAGGACAACAGGGGATGGACTTTTTCATTGTGTTATTATTGATTATGGACTGGTATTTTTCCTAGAAAATTTCTTAATGATGGATTTGTTTCTTACAAACATGCATCTTTTCACTTCACAAGATGTTCATTTCTGGATTGGAGTCGTGTGGATTATTGTGATGTTTTTATCAGCTGTTTGGACTCTCATTCTGACGACACCGATTCACTGCAGAGGATCCATTGGTGAGCAAGTGATGTAATGCTAATTTTCTTAAAATATGTTCTGTTGAAGAAACGAACTCATCTACATCTTAAATGGTCTGAGGGTGAGTAAATGTTCAGCAAATTTTAATTTTTACATCACTTATCAGATATAAGTGAAACTATTAATAATGCACTGCGTTTACACAGTACTTTCTTTCTGTCTCTCATTTCGACACCAGTTTGAGGAGTTGGCATATCTTTGGATGGAGAGGCAGAAGTCAGGTGGAAACTACAGCAGACATCGTGCTCAGACAGAGAAGCATGTGGTTCTCTGCGTCACTTCACTCAAAATAGACCTGCTCATGGATTTCCTCAATGAGTTCTACGCCCACCCGAGACTACAGGTACATACATATTCCCATATATGTAAGTGTTTATTATTGCTCTATGTATTCCAAAAATCTGTATTATAATCTAGCTCATTTCCTGTATGTGATGGTGGTATCATTAATTCTTAAATGTCTTGTAGGATTATTATGTGGTGATACTCTGTCCCACTGAGATGGACATCCAGGTTCGGCGTATACTGCAGATCCCGCTGTGGTCTCAACGGGTTATCTACCTCCAAGGCTCTGCACTGAAGGACCAAGACCTGATGAGGGCCAAGTAAGCTGTTTAAAATGTTGTTTTTTGCATAAAAGGTCCTTTGATTATATGTTTTGCGCATGATTAAACTAGAAAGATGAAAGAACTAAGAAATGAAACAACTACAATTTTGGATAGACCTTTATACAAGTGTCATGTCCATTGACATGCCAACACAGATTTTTAAACCAAGTGAATCCGAGTCACTTTACATTTTGAATTGAGGTTCTGACTCCTTGTTTGAGTCTATGAGAGAGCCATTAGACTGATACAGACATCAGTCCAACGTATCTGTAAAATTATCTGCAAGTGATTTCATCAAGTACTTTTTAAATACATTAATACTACCTCTTGATTACTTAGAACATTTGAACAATTGAGAATGAGAATAATATTGTCAGAGATCTTCATTTTCCAAGTAGCCTGTCAACACAAGCTCTTGTGCATTCAACAGTTACATTCACCAAAAAATATTTAAGGACAGAAGATATGGAGTGCAGTTCTTTATAAATGAACTGTTTTTATATTGAGCAAGGTGACTTCAATTTCTATCAAATGTAGACATCAATAGTACAACTTGCAAGAACAATACTTAAAGCAGCAATTGTGATGGACGATTTATGGCTCACTATAAAGTGCACAACAATGCTTCACCATTAAGGTTTGGCCTAATGGCAGGCTAAGCAGTTTAGCTAATTAAATTAGCCTAATCTCATTATTCTCTGTTAGAGACAACTTGTGTTTCCGGCTTTTTAGAGTCTAAGAGTGAAAGAGCTGTTAGTAAACTTCAGTCACAAGTCATTTTTTTACAGCGATGTACAGTACAGCAGTGTGGCATTTCTATAATTCAAACTTGCATAAGCATACTGATGAACTGTTTCCAAATGGAAGCTTTGGACAGGCTCCCAAAAAATCTAAATTAGTCTGTGAGGAAATTTGAAGAGTCAACCTGCAAGCTCCACCGCCAGAGCCAAACCTGTCACCAGTCTCAAGCCCATCTGTTCCTTATTAAAGCAGCACTGAAATTTAAGGGTAATATATGTGCTTCTTCCTGCAATGTAACTGCACTTAAAATCCTACTATATTCCTTCATCATAAATGCAGCGAATCTGTCCCAATTTGCCCACTTCAAATTCTAGTGCATGAATTTCTCATAAAGCTCAGTCGGTCTAGAGTTCCTGGCTAAATGTGTAATCTGTGTATTGTAATGGGAAGGCTGGAATTTAAACAACGTTAGTCCTTTTTAAATTTTAAGATGTGCTTATTGCTGCTGCATATTACTGGATGAATTATGCATATTGTGAGAAGTTTACTTTTTTGCCAGTAGTTATTCCTCACAGTATCTTTCAGTTTTAAAGAATGTTTTGGGTTTAAAACAAACGCCGTCGAAAGCATCTGTGACATGATGTCAATTTGTTATTTGCAGTAATTCAGTCTCAGTGGAATCTAGGCATTCTCAGGGTTTAAATGCAGAATTGTGCACTGCAGCTCATATTTTTGAAGCACTTCTATCACCAAGGTCACCTATCACCAAGAAGTCGTGGTTTAGCTGGTTAATGTGATCCAGTTTGCGCCTGCCGCTAGATGCTGTAACTACATCAGTTGGTTAAAAGAAATGTAGACATAAATAGTACAACTTGCTAATATTCTGTTATAATATAGTATATATTTTCCTTTCCTTTTTCTTTTGCCTGGTTACTGTGTTTAGGACTCTTAAATTCACAATTCATTCAACAAATACACACAGGTATTTTTGTATCTGTAATTTAATGCACAAATAAGACTTTACATTTATGTAACATCTATGTAAATGTGTTTTTTTTTTTTTTTGCTTTTTTAATGACTTCAGAGATTTAGAGACTGTTATTCCATAATGTAGATTTCCAAATAGAAGTTGTCGGGTCTGTTTACAGTCACAGAAAGGATAGATAGTGTTTGTAATGCTTGGTTTACCAGTGTATTGTAGCTGTTCTTTAGATGCAGTGTGCATTTTGTGACATTTATCCTATTGCAGTGTCGTACACCACAGGCATCCATTGTAAAACCATTACACTTAATTTTTTCTTGTTTTTGCAAACTGAGGGAAGAGTCAAAATTATTTACTGTGGTAATTGACAGCATGTCACCGATGCTGTTGACAGAGTTTAACAGGAACCCAGAACACATCCAGAAAACATTGAGTGTGAAAATCAGCAGAATATTAATGGCAGCTTTTTCAATAAAAAGAAACATAGAGCAGGTCATATGGTATTTTAAAGTGTCCTAATATTGTGTTGGAGTCCCCTATAACAGGTTTAAATGCATCTAAGGTCAGAAAATATTGTAATTTTCTCAGAATATACATTTAATATTAGAATCTTTTTTCAATGATTTCGAAACGATTCGTTCAAAGCAGTTCTGAGCTTAAGGTCTGTAAACTCCTCCTTTCCATAAGCCTACTCTACTCTGATTGGTCAGCTGGCCAAGTCGGTTGTAATTGGTCTTTCTGTATACAATGCGTATCGGAAACGAAACGCCCATTACCATAATAATTTTTTTGCTCCGGAGGGTTACTTGCAAACAAAGATACTATAAGGTTACAAAAATGGCATCGATATTACCTTATAAATTCGAAACCGAGTCCGAGAATGATACCGATGCAGTCGCTCAACCGGAAACTCCATCGCAAGCACGACTTGATCAGGACGTTTCTCAGTGGTAAGTTTAAACTTTGTATGTGGTACTTCACGTGATGTGACAGCAGTTTTATTGCATTCATTATTATTATTTACTTATTTGAGGTGCACATGTGGGAACTGTGTTAGAATGCCCAGTGAGGCTGAAAACAGCGTCTTCTCGACATGATGTAAACACACTAACTAGCAGATGTATGTGTGGGCAGGTCAGAGTGTTCGTATTTCGAGGGCAGGCAGGGATTATGCAAATATGTTACCTTGTGACGTATCTAGGTAACAGGCAGAAGATTCGAAAATATGACAACTCATAAAGGCGGTTCAGAGTCGACTCTATCTTTATTTATCATGCACTTTTTTGATTAACAACTTTGCAGACTGTTTACATTGAAGAATCGCTACGTTACAAACTGCAAAAAAGATATTTTTCGAAAACCCATATGACTTGCTCTTTAAATCTATAGTGTATTTTGCTGGACTTGAGGCCAGTATACCGTGAAATTGACCCTGTGAGAAACATGGCAATAATTATCTATGTATACACACATGTGCAGTCCTTCTGGAGGAATTCACTTCAGGTCTGAATGACACTGCTGTGTAATGATGTTCTGTGTCCTGCAGGATGGACGATGCAGAGGCGTGCTTCATCCTCAGCAGCAGAAATGAAGTGGACCGCACTGCAGCTGTAAATATAGCCTCATAATTTAGTACCTTGCCAAAAGTAAAAGTTATTAAGGCTGCAACAACAACTCAATAAGTAACTAAGAAGGAAAATAATCGTAAATTGTATCTCATTATTGATTAGTCAGGTCTTTGAGCTGTATATAGAAGAATCTTCATCGGTGTCACCACTTCAATTTATTAAAAATAAACCTATTTTCTATTTTAAAAAGCACACATTTTTATGAATTTAGGATGAATAATATACAACACACGTTTTCCCAAGCACAGGAATTTTTTTTAATTAATCAAATGGAGTGCAACAAAAACAGGAAACCTAATTATTTTGATCAAAACAATTTTCACTGTTAAACATCAGATTTACTTTTAAATTAGCCATAATAGAAACTCTGGTATGCAATGCAAGTAATTATATTTTTAAATGAACAGTAACTTAAAGCTAGTGGGAAATTTGAAACATACATTGGAATATTAGTCATACTTTATAAAATGTGTTTTCATCTTTTAAACTATGATGAGACTGTGACGTTTTATTACTTTATATTGTAGGCCTAACCATTTCAAATGGTTTAATCAATTATCAAAGAAATAATCAAAAGATTAACTGATTGTCAGAGTAGTTGTTAGTTGCAGCTCTAAATGTTATTATTGACACTTATTGCATGTATTGCAGTTTGACTATCAATAGGGATTTTTTTTTTTTTTACTGTGATTCACTTAATAAATATACAAATGTATACGATTTTCCTGAACGTAAACTGCTATTAATGGCAAAATGAAGTGTGCACATTTTATTGTAAGAATGATGTCTGTTCTTATAGGATCATCAAACCATTCTGCGAGCATGGGCTGTGAAGGACTTTGCTCCAAACTGTCCTCTATATGTCCAGATTCTCAAACCTGAGAACAAATTCCATGTCAAATTTGCAGGTCAGTTTTTTTCCTTCTTCAGGTTGACTCATTTCATATGCAGTCAGCAAACAGTGACCTGTCCTTTATTAATCATGTTTAGATTTTAACAGACATGAGGTAGTGTTTATTTTTCATATTTGTCTTTTGACCAAAATGTATATAATTTATATAGTCCATTACTTTTAATAAAACAGCAAGTCAACAAAAAAAAACCTTATGATATATAAACAAAATACAAAACTGTCCTGACAGTTAGACATGGACTTATTTTAAGGACAATCTGTTAGCAACTGTAGCTTATTGTTTGTACTATAGATGGTTGTAGTGTGTGTGTGTGTGTGTGTGTGTGTGTGTGTGTCAGTGTGTGTGTTTCATATAGGTGTATGAATAATAAATATAGATCCATCTGGATTCTACACACTCCGTCTCACCCTCTTTGAAGTGTTTGGTGGTTATGAGCAGCCGTTTTGTATGTCTAGCATGGCCTCTACCTCTTGGGTCACTGCATTTGCATTTACATGTGTTTGTTTAATAGATGAAGCAAAGTATTCAGAGGGATTAATATGCCCCTTTGCGTGTGCAATGCTATAAACGCATGTGATCATTCAAACACCTTGAGAAAGGTAAATAATGAATAAAAAAATTTAAAAAGTGGCCTTAACTCACAGGTATATTAAAACTTTTAACAATTAACGCAAGATTCATGTTTAGTTTCTCGTTTTTGTGTGTAGCTCTGAATTATATTATTGATTCACATGTTCAGATAAAAGTCATCCATGGCAATATAGCAGTAGCCTTGATTAACAGTATACAGTGTGATTGTGTTTTTATTGTGAAAAAAGGTTGACAAATGTGTCAGAAGTTAGTACTGGCTGTGACAGTAAGTTCCCTTTCAGTCGGTCACTCCGAGTCACGTCGGTGACCGACAAATTGGGATCTCGCTTCGAGAGACCAATCTACTTCGAGTGTAACTAAACGAGCCAATGCACATTGGCATGCAATTATTGCATCCATCCAGCGTGAGCATAAAAAGGCAGCCCGTGCAATGCATACCAGCTTTTCGCTTCGGAGCCGAGCGACAACATCGTTCTGCTCCATCCAAGTGTCTTCAGTGAGCTACGAGTTCAACGCGCTCTTGGAAGCTTCTTGTGTTGGCGGACGGCGCTTCAGCGGTGGTCGTTCTTGTGTCGAGTGGGTTGCGCACTTCAGGCTGCACTACCCCCTGTTGTGCTGCAAGCGGCCATTTCCCCTGTGCGCCTCAGCACTAAAAGAGCATTTCCCTGAAAGAGCAATTTCTCTAAAAGAGTACAATAAGTCTTTG